ATGAGAGCTGTTCCCCTCGGAACAAAAAAACAAATTGTCACAAAATTCGAAACTTAAGATATGAAACATCGGTCAAACTTGGCAATTCATCCTCTGACAAAATATAGATGTTTTGTAGTGATGAGCAGTTTTAGAAGGACTGATAACATCCCCAATCCTTTAGGAAATGTAGCCTAGCCACATGACACGTGTAACTATAAGAGCATTCTTAACCCCAGATCAACCATTTCGTTGCAAAATACAAAAATGCTATAACCTAAAAATACCTTTTTGTTATTGAAGTGGTGGGGGGGGTGTTGGGGGGGGGGGGTGGCGGGGGGGGGTGGAGTGGGGGGGCGGGGGGGGGGGTGGGGGGGGGGGGGTTTTGGGTGTGGGGGGGGTGGGGGGGTGGGGGGGTGGGGGTGGGGGTGGTGGTGGGGGGGGGGGTTTTTGGGGGGGGGGGTGGGGGGTGGGGGGGTGGGGGGGGGGGGGGGTGAGGGGTGGGGGGGGGGGGGGGGGGCGGGTGGGTGGAGGGGTGGGTGGGTGGGGGTGTGGGGGGTGGGGGGTGGTGGGGGGGGGGTGGGGGGGGGGGTGAGGGGGGGGGGGTAGTGGGTGGGGGGGTGGTGGGGGGGTGGGGGGGGGTAGGGGGTGGGGGGGGGGGGGGTTGTGGGGGGGAGGTGTGGGGGTGGGGGATGGGGGGGGGGGGGGGGGTGGGGTGTGGTGTGGGGGGGGGGGTGAGTGGGTTGGGGGGAAGGGGCGTGGGGGGGGGGTGGGGGGGGGGGGGGGGGTTGGTGTGGGGGGGGGGGGTGGGGGGGGGGGGGGGGGTGTGGGGTGGGGGTGGGGGGGTGGGGTGGGGGGGGGTCGGGGGGGTGGGTGGGGGGGGGGGGGTGGGGGGGGGGGGGTGGGGGGGGGGGGGGGGGGGTGGGGGGGGGGGGGTTGGGGGGTGGGGGGGGGGGGTGGTGGGGGTGTGGGGGGGGGGGGGTGGGGGGTGGGGGGGTGGGGGGGGTGGGGGGGGGGGGGGTGTGGGGGGGGGGGGGGGGGGGGGGGGGGGTGGGGGGGTGGGGGGGGGGGGGCTACCGCTTCCCTGAGTTGATCCTCATCTCATAAGCATCTCTCCGACTGCATAATGCTTAGCCTCCACATTATGAATCTTGTACCCCAAGGTCTCGGTGTATAAATCGAAGGTCGCGCGGTTGCTCTGGCGCACGAGTAGGGACACGTACTCGGCACCAAACACCTGTGTGGGAGAATCCAATACAAGCCCGACAAAGCATATATAATTAGCCTGATTTAATTTTGGTTCTATATTTTACAAAAATCCACAATGCGAACCCTAAAGCCCCAATTTTATTCTCTCAATTTTTAATCATCAATCAAGATTATTTTTGAGGTAATAAAATTGATCTATTGAAAGATAAGAGAGGTGATATAACTGTCCCATGGCATTCTGTGTGGCGGTCGTTAGTTTGGTGGCGAGACTGAGTTTGCGCTGGGTGCGGAGGTCGACGAGGGAGGTGATATGCCGTGACTGTGGTGCTCTCCTTCCATCTTGGCGAGGACGTAGCGAACGATGCCACCGTTGTAATCTTCGTCGACATAGAGAAGCTGACACCATGAGAGGATGTACTAGAAGTAGTAGTATGGAGAAAGGAGAGCACGAGAGAGAAGAGGTGAAGATGAACGATTGGACAAAAAGAAACAAAATTAAAACTTTTACCCTAGAAACAGTTATACGACGGTTGAAAATATAGAATCATAGTAAATATATATTATTTACTTTTATATATTAAAAAGTATTTATGGTGTAAAAGGAAGTAATTATATTATAAAATATAGATGTATTAGTGTAGCTATTGAACAATTGTGGACCAAGAAGTTAGTTTAGAAGATTTAACGAGAATAGTGGACCAAAAAGTTAGAGCTTTAGTGGACAAGTTAGGATATGGTCATTTTTGTTGCAAGTTACATTATGGTGTTCTGGTATAGTAATAAATGTAAATTAAGGAGATTAATAAAACAAAATGAATGCCAATTCCAGTGAATAAGAAAGCTATGGCTATCCCAAATTTGACACTAAGGCAGCAAAAAGTTATTTGTCATTTTCATGTTCAGAAAAATAATATTTTTTATTACAAAAAAAATTCAATTATTACTTATAAATACGAAAATTATAACATAAAATTAGGGATGGCAAAAAAATCCGCGCCCGCGGATATCCGCGGATAAAATCCGCGACGGATAGTTGATACCCGCGGATATTTACTACCCGCAACCGCGGGTAGCGGATATTGAATACCCGCTATAATCGGGTCGGGTGCGGATATAGACTATCCGGACCGCGGATACCCGACCCGCAAAAAAAAAAAAAAAATGAATTTAGTAATATAGGAAATAATGAAAAAACATTAAGTTTATATGACAATATTAAAATTTAATGAAAAGTATATTTAATTTAAGTGATATAGATAAATAAGGTTAGAAAGTGAGGTTAATTTATAGGAAAAATAGATTTAATATTTGCGGGTATCCGTGGATATCCGCGGGTTTGTTCCCCTCGGAACAAAAAAATCAAATTGTCACAAAATTCGAAACTTAAATTATGAACATCGGTCAAACTTGCAAATTCATCCTCTGACAAAATATACTGTTTTGTAGTGATGAGCAGTTTTAGAAGGCTGATTAACATCCCCAATCCTTTAGGAAATTATGTAGCACATTGACACGTGTAACTATAAGAGCATTTCTTAACCCCAGATCAACACATTTCGTTGCAAAATACAAAAATGCTATAACCTAAAAATACCTTTTTGTTATTGAAGTGCTACTGCTTCCCCTTGAGTTGATTCCTCATCTCATAAGCATCTCTCCGACTGCATAATGCTTAGCCTCCACATTATGAATCTTGTACCCCAAGGTCTCGGTGTATAAATCGAAGGTCGCGCGGTTGCTCTGGCGCACGAGTAGGGACACGTACTCGGCACCAAACACCTGTGTGGGAGAATCCAATACAAGCCCGACAAAGCATATATAATTAGCCTGATTTAATTTTGGTTCTATATTTTACAAAAATCCACAATGCGAACCCTAAAGCCCCAATTTTATTCTCTCAATTTTTAATCATCAATCAATGATTATTTTTGAGGTAATAAAATTGATCTATTGAAAGATAAGAGAGGTGATATAACTGTCCCATGGCATTCTGTGTGGCGGTCGTTAGTTTGGTGGCGAGACTGAGTTTGCGCTGGGTGCGGAGGTCGACGAGGGAGGTGATATGGCCGTGACTGTTGGTGCTCTCCTTCTCCATCTTGGCGAGGACGTAGCGAACGATGCCACCGTTGTAATCTTCGTCGACATAGAGAAGCTGACACCATGAGAGGATGTACTAGAAGTAGTAGTATGGGAGAAAGGAGAGCACGAGAGAGAAGAGGTGAAGATGAACGATTGGACAAAAAGAAACAAAATTAAAACTTTTACCCTAGAAACAGTTATACGACGGTTGAAAATATAGAATCATAGTAAATATATATTATTTATTTTTATATATTAAAAAGTATTTATGGTGTAAAAGGAAGTAATTATATTATAAAATATAGATGTATTAGTGTAGCTATTGAACAATTGTGGACCAAGAAGTTAGTTTAGAAGATTTAACGAGAATAGTGGACCAAAAAGTTAGAGCTTTAGTGGACAAGTTAGGATATGGTCATTTTTGTTGCAAGTTACATTATGGTGTTCTGGTATAGTAATAAATGTAAATTAAGGAGATTAATAAAACAAAATGAATGCCAATTCCACGTGAATAAGAAAGCTATGGCTATCCCAAATTTGACACTAAGGCAGCAAAAAGTTATTTGTCATTTTCATGTTCAGAAAAATAATATTTTTTATTAGAAAAAAAAATTCAATTATTACTTATAAATACGAAAATTATAACATAAAATCCTTCCTGAAATGAAGTAGTTTAAAAATATTAGGCTAACAAAAGTTTTAATCAATGACATATGTATTGTTCGGGTTAAGAAGGGTGAAGTACTACTAAATAAAAATTTATGTTATTTTTTGTAATTTTAAAATTTTCATCTTATTAAATTGATTTTTTATTTTGTTTAAAAACCAATACTAAAAATGATTTAAATATATTTTTTTAAGGTTTAATCATTCTAATTATCTCAATTTTTTTTAAATCACGTATATGTCCTTTAATTTTTTATTTTCAATTGGTTTTTATTTGTTAAAAATTAAAGCAATTAAGTTCTTGTTAGTACATTATTAACACAGTTAAAGAGGATATCAGGTGTCAATTTGTAACTTTTTATTTTTTATTATTTATTTTTCAAAATAAACTTTTTTCACATGTCAAACTGATATTGTGCTCCATGACAAGAACATGTGATGTGGTAGTAGTAGTGTCATGTGTCACTATCAAGTCACGTGCATTAGTTTTAATTTGATCTTTGTATTTTTATTTTGTCTCAATGTATTTTTTTTAAATAAACAACTTTGTCTATCCCAAATTAAAACAAAATTTAATTTGAATATAAATGTTATATAAATATTTTTTTATTAAAAATGATATTTTTATTAATATTTTTAACAAGAATAAATTTATTTATATTTATATTTAGTTAATTTCGTTTGAATTTGGATATTGACAAAATTGTTTAATTTATAAAAAGACACGTGACAACGTCACTGTCACTACTATATCACATTGTCATTGTCACGTGACAAAATATTAATTTAACTCGTGACAAATTTTTATTTATTTTTAAATATATAAAAATAAAATATAAAAATAAAAATATTTAAAAAACTATGAACTAATATGTGACACTCTTTAATCATGTTAGTATTAAACTATAATTGTTTTAATTTTTCATAAATAAGAACTTAATTAAGAAAAAAAATTAAATTAAATGACCTATTTATTAATTTTAACAAAAAAAATCGTTGAAATGATTAAATTTTTGTAATACTTTTAAATGTTTTATCTTAAATACGATGATTAGATTATTTTGGATGGGAATAATTTTATGTTTGTTATGAAAATTTCTAATGTATGACGAGTTGAGAAGATAGTAGATGGTTTTGAAGAGTTTCGAACAAAACCAAACAAACATTAGGAGGAGAAAAGGAAAACACATATAAGGAAAGTGCTTGGGGGTACCATATGTACCTGAGTGTTTTTCTTCATCCCTCCTAATTAATTCTGCTTATTATTCATCATCAAAATGGAAAAAAAAGCTATTGCTAATCACTACCACTGAAATTTCTCTTAAATAACATAGAAATATGCACATTTTCTGGTATGTATAATCTTCATCCCTAAACCTAAAAGTGAAGAAAGTTCATAAATATCCACATGTAGATCAGGGCTACTTTTCCAATTCCTATTTGATAGTTGCAGAGTTTCGTGCACGTGATTTTCTATTTATATCTTTTTGCTTTTTATATAAAAAACTAACGTACATTGCACAAAATTAAACCATTTTTATGCTTCAATTTGCTGCACAATGTGATGAATCATGTTATATTGTATTTATCACATCAATTTGAATATTGTAATCCCAAAAGTTTGGCATTTTTGTTTGTACATAATAAAATTTACCTTATTATAATTAATTGCCCATGATTTACTAAAAGAAATTGTAATTGTTAGAAAAAAAAAGTGTTTGTTGCAATAAAACATAAAACATTAATACTATGTACGAAAAATGATATATCATTAAAAACAACATATCTTGCAACACTTTGTTTGATAGATTATACAAATTTGTTATAATTTTTACATTGTTTTGATAAGTAAAATCTTTAACCCATGATAATTACATGAGTTAAATATGCTTTTAATCTCTAAACTATCATACTATTTTGGGTTTCGTCCCTCTTTGAAATGTTTGTTCATTTTCATTCTCTTAGTTAGGAAACTTGTATTCTTAGTTTTTAAAAAGCAACGATGTTAGATTTTCTGTGAGGTGGCTAACGGTGAGCCACATCACTTTTCTTTTTTCT